CAAGTGTCCTGTGTGAGAATAATATATCATACAGTGAGCAGAGTGTAAGGAGAAACAAAAAGAAAGGGTTTTACATATAATATGGAGATACTCCTGTGTCTGGAGAAGTCATGTTTAGGACTCCAGATTCAAACAGGTTGGATTCATCTATGTCCCAGGTGAGGACATATTCCATGAAGGGGAAATGAGGAGTGTTAGGTTTTCCTAAATTGAGGATTGTGAGATAGAGTTTCTTTCTATATGTGGGAAAGATATAATGTGTGCTTGTAAGCTACTGGGGGAGACAGAATTAGCCACAGCCAAGGCAATTTGGCTCAGGCTAAAAAAAGCAACCACTTTTTTTTTGGTTTGGCTGCTGTAAACATACTGAATTTGACTCCAACTTTCATCACTGTATGGAATGACATCATTAAGCAGCCATCACATGAACCGTGTGGCTTATCTCCACCAAAGGGAGATAATCACTTTCTATATCTCTACACCAATTTTAGGCACCAAATATCAGTTTTTGATATAACTTTTATTAATCAGAAAAACCTGATCTAGACACCATTTCCTATTTTATTGAGATGCTGAATCCATTTTTGGCACTGGAAATCCATGAAAAAAAGTTTAAATAGGTTAAATGCAAAATTTATTCACTTTAGGGTAATTTAGGCTCTTCACTGTAAACAGGTGTTTCTAGACCAAAAACCCTATTTTTAATTAGAAATGTGTAAGTTTGCTTTTAATCTTTCCCTTAAGTACAAGTAACATGAATACAGTTCACTAATTGAGCTGAAAAATAATTCAGGGAGCTCAAAAACCACCTGGCTCTATTATGCAAGTGCGCTATCGCCTAGCACTCCATTACAAATATATCATGAGCTTGATTTTCAGAAGGTGACTCATAATTTTAGCCTTGTTCCAAACTAGTCTTAGCTTAATAAATATTATTTGCCCGCTGCCCCACGCAGCAAGATGTGGCACAAGGCCAAGTTTTAAAGTGGGGTATCCAAGCCTGTATGCTCAGGCAAAAATTCCCTATAGACCATATAAAAACAGAGTCAATTTCCTGAGACGAGGCTCTGCCAAAGGGCAGAGTCTCGTCTCGAGGATACCCTCTGAGACGTGCCAGTAAGTATACCACACCCAGAGTAAATTTTAGCTTAGTAAATACCTTGATTACTTCTTTCCATGGGCTTTTTTTAAAGCTTTAGATACTGATTAACTGGTCCCACTAGAATAGCAATTACCCAAAGTCAAAGTTATTATCTATAAAGGAGTAATTTGATTTCTTTCAGTGATTAAAATGTCATATTGGCTGTGTGGGTAGTAGCACAGAAAAATGAAATCAGCCAGCCAATGTCAGATTCCAGCTGAGATGACAGTTTACACTTTTGTACCTGATGCCTTTGGGAAAGGGGTATGAATCCCTCTTTTGTAGATTACAGAGAAGGCTAAGCTGGACTTTTTATCAGCCAGTCTAAGAGAAAGACCATCAATTTCAAATTATGGAGAAGGCAACCAATCCTCTATTTTACCTATGAAGTCATCGCAATTCACAGAAGATAAAAAAGTTGAATCTGCAGAAAGTCATGATTGCTGGTGCAGAAGACAAAGGGCATTTAAATTAGAGAGAAACAATAGCAACTAACAAAACAAATTCATATGTTGCCATTGTATTTAAAGCCATGATATTGCCAATGTATTAAAAGTAGTTATATTGCCTGTGTATTTTATATTGGCAGTGTATTTAAAGTAGTTATATTGCCAATGTAAAGTAGTTATATTGCTACTGTTTTTAAAGGCGTTATATTGCCAGTGTATTTAAAGCCATGATATTGCCAGTGTATTTAAAGTAGTTATATTGCCAGTGTATTTAAAGCCATGATATTGCCAGTGTATTTAAAGTAGTTATATTGCCAGTGTAAAGTAGTTATATTGTTACTGTTTTTAAAGGCATTATATTCCCAGTGTATTTAAAGCCATGATATTGCCAGTGTATCTAAAGTAGTTATATTCCCAGTGTATTTAAAGCCATTATATTGACAGTGTATTTAAATTAGTTGTATTACCAGGCAATATCATTAAAGCCATGATATTGCCAGTGTATTTAAAGTCACAACATTGCCAGTGTAATTACATACATGATATTTACTGTGTATTTAAGATCATGGTATTGCCAGTGTATTTAAAGCAGTTATAATGCCAATATATTTGAAACCATTATATTACTAGTGCATTTAAAATCATGATATTGCCAGTGTATTTTAAGTTATATTTCAGTGTATTTAAAGTAAGTAACAACTGTCTTATGAATTTCTGAGGTAAAGCAGTAAGTTTTCTTATTTGCATTTGTTTTCATTTATAACATTTTGTACTAAATAGCTTCTTTTTAATGACAATATATACTTTACATAACTAAGCATTTTATTAATTTATCCAATTTTGCTTTCAAGTAATGAGCACTTCTATAATTCTAGAATGGCATAATACCACCTAAATGCTTGAGAACCAGTGAAATAGAATAATTACAGATGTCAAATTTATTAAACTAGTTTACCAATACCATCAAAAATGACAGCAGGTTTTTTTATTAATTGCATTCTATTAGGATCTTTGGAAATTAAGTATGTATTTCACTGCTACAAATTATGAGTCAACCAACCAAGGCAGAACCAAAGTTGAATGGTAGAAAACTGTGTCCAGAATTAGTTTATCATGTCTTCTATTAGTGTGTTTGGAATTTAATGATGTTTTTCACTGCTATGAATTAATAGTCAACCAATTTTTTAATTATATAGGGATACAAAAGACGATTATCTCCCTTTGGGTGAGATGAAGGCACAAGGTTCATGTAATGGTCGGTGAGTGATTTCAGCTCATAGAGTGACAAAAGTGGTCAGTTTGTTAGTTAGCTTCCTGGAGACAAAACTGAGCAGTTGTTCATTAGCACAGGTAAGCAAAGACCTCTGTCTGAGCCAGCTGCCACAGGGCAGCACCTAAGACCATAGTATCATTTTCCTGTTGGGAAATATGCCCTCACCAGAGGCATAGAAGATAAATCCAGCCAGCTCAAATTATAGAAACAATCTCCAGCTCACAATCTTCTCATTGGAAAACACCCGTGACCTTAATGCGTGACAATACTCCATGAAATTCAAATAATATTACAGCTTGTAATAGAAATAAAGCAATTGAAATTAAGATGAAAGAAATACAAGTAAAAAAAATATCAATGATTGAAAATGCTTCATGAAAATCAAATGATAGGAGTAGATAGGTTGGCCTATCGCCCAGTTCAGTCCACACTCCCCTGATCTTTGATCCTGTTTACGATTGGGCTTCTGGTTCCTTCTAAAAGTCTTGTTACAGAGTTAAGAGTATTGATTTAAAAAAATATTATCAGAAGACTTTTTATTATTTTTGGTTAATTATAGCTGATTAGTCTGTGTGAAGAAAACTCTACAAACATTTAAATTTTGTTGTTCGCCTGGCACAAGGTCAATAACAACATTCTCAATAAGTGACAAAACGACTCTTTTGTATATGAGAAAGATATTTTAATTTGTATACAGAAATTTACATTTCTTGTTGCTGAAATAAAATTCAGAGAGATTGTATCTTTTGGAACTTTTTACATTTTTCTTTTGTTTGCTCTCAGGAAAGTTTCACTACTTTCTTTTAAAAGGTATTATTCATAATAATTTCTGTAACAGTGAATATTACACGAAACTCTTTTGGTTTGGAACATTTCAGTCAATGTAAGATTGCATGTTTCGATTTTTTTCTTTTTGCAAGTCAGTTTTAAATTGTGAAATACTGTACAAATCAGTAAATTTTGCTTGCAAGAATATTCTTATAAAACGAACAAAGTTGTCTGCCTTTAACTGTGAATGGTTTTGCAGAGAGGTTTCCTTTTTTATACTCATTACAATTACACCACATATTAAAAAATAGAATTTAAAATAATAAATTCAGGAATGAATGAATTTAACATATGCTGTGAGCCTGGTATGTGAACTTGCAAGATGATAATTTGTTATTGAAATAGAATTATCACTTGATATATTTTTTCTTTGTGAAATGTATCAGGTATTTTTTAGAAAAGGTTGTAATTTGAAATTGAGTGTGTGAGAAAAGCTTTTTTTAGTACATTACTTGTCATGCAGTTCTCACAAAAGTAGATGCAGCTTCTTTTTTGTAGTGAGCATTAAAATTTTAGACCCTTTTCCAAGAAAAATCGTTAGAATTCTAAATAATGCATAGGCGTTATAAAGTTTTAAATTAATACTAGCTACTGATTGGATGAGCCTACTTCTGTATACATTTTTAAACATAAAAATTTATCACATAAAATTTATATTGAAATTATTTTGAAAATAACAATATTTGCTGAAATACATCCATGTTCAAAATTAATTAAAGATAAAATTCTAAAGTCTTCTCATTCTCTATCGCTCCCAGTCGCCCCTTGCATCATAGTGGCATTTATCACCTTGCTTGGGGTAAATTGATTAAAATAAAATATTACATCTTGTAATGTAAATAAAAAGCGACTGAAATTAAGATGCAAAGGTCATGATACCAGAATTTGGAAATTTCAACTTGTTAATAATAAAACACTTGTATGCATTTATCTATGAGAAAGTATTTTGGAAGACAAAAACAATCGAAAAAATAGATGACTGAACGTGAATTGGGTGATATTTTTTTATACATCTACATACATATATATGAGTTTTCGCCATTCCAGTACCAAGATGAATGAATACCTCTTCTTTGTACGTAGATGAAAGGTTGGCTTTATGTTTGGCCATTTTGTCAGAGTTGGGAAGTAAAGTCGGCTAAGAACTTTTCAGCGCCCCTTTGTCCGGTTGTTAGGTACGCAGTGACTCCCACCAATTAAGGGAGAAAAGTCAACGAGAGTGATCTCCCTTACTCCACGTCTACACCTAAACGAAATACAAAAAAAAAAAAAAAAAAGAACGAAAAAGATACAAAAGACCTTAATCAAGATGGCTGCCCCCAGTCCACAAATTGTCACTTTGTGTTTGTTTGTCAATTTAATCTGTTCCATTATGATCGTCCTGCTTAACAAGCGTATCTACGTCGTATATGGCTTCCCAAACATGACCCTGACGTGCATCCATTTCCTTCTCACCACGGCCGGTCTGTTTATATGCCAAAAACTAAACGTTTTCCAACCGAAACGCTTGCCCCTGCGGGACATGTTACCCCTGGCTGCGTCTTTTTGCGGATATGTCGTTACGACTAACCTTTCCTTACAGCATAATACTGTCGGCACATACCAGCTTATTAAAGCCATGACCACTCCGTGTATCATCTTTATACAGACACAGTTTTATAATCGGAATTTTTCTCTTTATATCAAACTTTCATTGGTAAGTTTCATTTATTTTTTAAGTTTTTCTTTTGCGATTAGTGATTTATGATGAATCTAAGGAAGCGATAAAAACACATTTAAGAAGACAAAGAATATTTTCATAAATATTCTTTGACTCTCTATTCTTAAAAGTAGTAAACCTATGTCTCTCATTGTAAGTTGGACTCAAACACTCAGACGAACTCGTGTTGTAGTAATCATTTAGTGTTAAAAAATCTTATTTTTTTTAATTTTTGTTTTTCGTCGTTTCCTGTAGAATTTGTTTAAAAAAAATACCACATGAAAGTGAAATCATTCCAAATTTGATAAATCCCGAATTTATTCAGCTAACGAATAAAACCAACTTTTTTTTTTAATTATTGAATGATTGAAAACGATACAAAAAAGTATTTCTCGAAATTTCATAAAAATAAAGTGGGGTGGTAACAGATGTATAAAAATATATTTACAAAGATTAAAAAAAAAAAAAAGAAACATTAAAAAAAAATAATTCCATTTATTTATGAATAAGTCTTGAAAGTTTCATGAAAATCCGACAATTAATTTTTGCAAGAATTTACAAATCAATGTTTTGTGTTTTTTTTTTTTTCACCACAAAAACACGCTAAAATTTCCTATACTAATTTATGGTTCCCTCCGCTGACGCAAGAAAAACGAAAATTTTAAGTTTGTAAAAAAAAAAAAAAAATATAATTAAAATTAAATAATCAAAAAATACTTTGGTCTTTCCTTTTTTTAATAATACCATAAAGATTTTTGACGATAAAACTTTCTTTATTAACTTTGGGGCATTTTTTTTCATCATGTATGCTCATATTTTAGCGAATCTTTGGAGATAGATTATTCAAGCAAGATTGGGGCCATTTCTATCGCAGGGTGAATATAATTTTATTAATTTATCTCATTTTTAATTAAGTAACAGTGTTCGTAAATCTAAATTGTTGCATAAAGAATGAAGGTCGATCCGAAAGTAATGTCTTTTTTGGGTCCACATCATGTCGATGATACTTTCGGAACATCCCATTGTTAATTCATACTCGGATGGCTCCAAAAGTAATGCTTCCTGTTGTTTTATTATTTCGGTTCACATCAAAGATGGATGTTTGTTAGTCATATGGCAGTCAAGATTTAACCTTCCCGTCAATAAGTCATAATTTTTGTCCTAACATATATATGACATGTAAAAACAAGTTGTCCACTTGATGGATACTAGCATGGGTCCAATCCGTGTTCACCTTTCTTATTTTTTGTTTGTTTTATTTTGATGTTCACCCTGCACAAGGCCCGAGGGTCACTCGAGGTAGAGGGTTATAGAGTCAGAGGTGCAGCTCATGCGAATAAGTGTGGAAGATAACTGTTAACTCTAGACTTGAATAGATTAAGATTGCAGTAATCAGGGAAGCATCCTCTTAGGAGTTGGGTCCATAAGGTAGTGGTTCATGGGAAGAAGCTGCTCTAGTGGAAGTCACATCTCACCAATAGAATACAAAGGGAATGATGGCGGTTCGCTACAATGTGCATAGCATGGCAGGTCTTACCCGTGAAGGTTAGGACTAGTGGAACTAAGGAATGTCGTTCATCTGAACACTCTCTATGGAAATAACAATAGAGCAGTGGGTGGTTTCTGACATCTTGTCTGTGAGAAAGAGGTTGTAGGGTGGAAAATAATTTGTCACCTACAAGCTTTTGGACGATGGAGAGTGGAAAGTGAAAACTGGGCAGCTCTTGACCATATATGGCATCAGTACTCGATTTTCAACCTGATCTAGCTCTCGTAAAGGTAGAAGATAGCAGGAGGAGCCAAAACCAACCATTTATTCCAGCATCTTTAACAATGGATTGTATGTACAAGTTCTACTTGAAGTCTGGGCTGAATTTAAGTTCCAATAGATGCTGAAGGCATAGAGCCTCCCCAAGAGACTGATGGATTCGAGCATAAGCCCAACCTGTATCTACCACATAGACATAATAATAACTTTTATTTTTTATTTATTTATTTTTTATTTTTTTTTTTTACCAACTTCACCCCAAGCAAGGCAGTCAAGTCAATAGGATGCAAGGGATTACTGAGTGTGGAAGAATTAGAAAACAGAGACATTACTAAGGAGTAAGAACAAAAGCAGAGTAATCAGGAAGACAGTAGATAGTGATTGACATTGCATTTAAATTCTTGAAGATTAAAGTTGGCTGGAAAGCATAGAACCAGAAGAGAGTTCCATAAGTGAGAAGTATGAGAAAAGAAACTGTTAGCATAGAACTTATGGTTACATCTAGCCAACTGTAAATTGATGAGACCTCATTGCCAATCTAGTACTGCACTTAAATTCATAGAGTCTGGGTACTATGGTAAAGAGCTCATCCAATCAGTTGCCATGAAAAATATTTATAGAAAAGGCACAAGGAGGCAACTTTACAATGGTGGGAAAATGACTGAAGCTGAGATGCCAGGTCAGGACCAAACATATTTCTGATTCTTCTTTGGAATTTATTATGGATTACTAAATATTTAGCAGGAACACCGGACCATATGCGGTAGCAATAGTCTAAGTATGGACAAATGGTAGACTTATAGATATATAAGATAGATTCTGGAGAAGAAAATTGTCTAGCATGACACAGTAAACCAACTTTCTGACCTAGCAATGGATTCAATATAGTCTTTCTACTTCATGTCAGCCAAGAACATTAGCCCAAGAAGGTGCAACGTGTTGCTCTCCTGGAGGTCAGCATCAGCCATACAGATGGAAAACAGAAAGGGGTCTCTCAGGCGATTAATAGAGAGTAGTTTAGTTTTGGAGATGTTAAAATTAACAAGCTATTCTTTCCCCCGGTTAACAGCAGACTGAAGGTCATTCTTTGGTAAATTTGCAGATAATGTCCCATTGATAAATTTTTTTTAAAAAAGTATAATTCCTGTTGTAAAAATGCCTGATTATTCTAAAAATAGCATTAAAATTGGTGGAAATCTACCATTTAGGAGATATTGACAATTTTAGTTGGGTCCCGATTACCCTCGATTACTATGCGAAAGTTTACTGACCTTGATACTTTGTCACTGGAGCATTATCTGTAATCGAGGCCAGTAAAATTTCACGCGGCAATCAAGGGTAACCATCACAAGGGGCATTATCTGCAAATTTACCCATATTTTTACATACGCCACCAATTTGACCTTATTGAACTGATCAGACTTAATATTGGGACAGAAGTTGATATTAGTTATGGTGAGATAAACGTTCCTTTATGGAAATATCCAGCATTCATTGACGGCTCATTCAATTGAATCCATTTTTGATCACTGGTCTGAGAAAACAGTTGTTTAAGGTAGTGTGAAAAGTTAATATCTTGGTTACGCCATTATTTTCTCTTAAGGGTTACATGTGCTTCTCATTTTAGTTGTTACTGCTGCTGGTAGTCTTCAAGTGATGTGGTTTCTGTTATTTGGTAAAGTTCTTAGTAATTCTGTAGCATCAGTCTTTCAGATCTAACAAAAAACAGTCCTCTTTATTCACAATTGTAATTTTATTTACTTTTTTTTTTTTTTTAACATTGACGGTCACCCTGTACAAGGCACTTAAGGTAGATGGTTAGAGCAAAAAGTACATTTTATATGGATAGGTAGGGAAGATAATGGATGCTTGATTTGAACAGGTTAAGATTGGGGAAACATCCTCACAGAAGTCAGTTCCACAGAGCAGTGGTTCGCAGGAAGAAGCTGTTCAAGTGGAACTTGCTTCTTACCAAAGAAATACAGAGGATACGGAGGGTATGAGGATGGTTTGCTACAATGTGAGTGGCATGGTAGGTTCTCACCATGAATGTTCAAACTGGCGGAACCAAGGAATGTAGTTCATCTGAACACTTTCCCTGGAAATAGCTTGTCACATCCCATCTGTGAGAGAGAGCGATTAGAGTGTGGAAAATAATTTGTCACCCACAAAAACTCTGGATCACTTTTGGATGTCCACTATTGCTATTTCTAACATTGATGAGGTTTTCCTTCCTTAACTTTTTTTTAAGGTAATGTGGAAAGTCAACATCTTGATTACGCCATTATTTTCTCTTAAGAGTTACATGTGCTCTCCATTTTTTTAGTTGTTGCTGCTGTTGGAAGTCTCCAAGTGAAGTGGTTTCTGTATTTTGGTAAAGTTCTTTCTTAGTGATTCTGTAGCACCAGTCTACAAGATCTAACAAAAGACAGCCCTTTTCAAGAGTTCCTGATTTCATTATTCACTTGAATTCATTTTTAATCATTGATATAAGAAAACGGGTGTATATAGCTGATAACTGAGACAATTCTGAACAAGTTAGATGACATGTGTGGCATTCATATGAGAGTTCTATATCTGACAAGGCTATTTAAGAATATGACATGATTTTGTTACAGAAGGAGGACAATCTAACCCTAAAGAGTGAATAAAGGGTCTAGTTCATAATTCCTTGAAGCTTACCCACAATGATAGACATTTGAAGAAGTCCATTGAATACAACAGCTGAAACATTGTGACTAAAATAAACCATAATAAAGACATTTAGAGTATAATAATGATAATTCCTTGTCACAAGAATTCAGGAAAAAGATCACATCAACTGAGAGGCTATAAGTGACAATTACAAAACCTGAAATCACAAGAAAGGACAATGAATGTGACAAATATATATTTACATGTAAACAGTATATTCTGCCATGAAAGAAAGGGTTTACATTATTCAGACTATTGTCCTCATCTTTGTTGCCATATTTATCAAAACATTTTGGCTGTTGTATGCTCCAGCCTGCTTCAGGTGGTTGGAATGTCGAACTTAAAGACACATGGCACAGTGGATAAAAGCGTTGGTTAGATCCAGTGAGAGGACCCAAAGAATTGTGAGTTAAATACCTGGAGAACTTGGAGAGGTGAGTTAACAGGAGATAACTGATAACTGACATCCATTAGACATGGCACGTGGAACTAGAACAGTCTATCCCAGCGAGATTCGACATTCCAACCACCTGAAGAAGGCCTGAGCATACAATGGCCGAAATGTTATGGTAAATATGGCAACAAAGATGAGGACCATAGTCCGAATAATGTAAATAATGTACATAATACCTCATCTCAGAAATATAGGCAGATACAGAAAGGGTTTTATTTAACATTTTCTAATGGTAACCAGATATGATCTTTTAAGAAGGGTACAGGAGCTGAAATGAAAAGGGTATAGTATTTTCACTGCCTGATTGAATTTCAGACTACAAAGCAATTAGATGCACTTAACCAACTCTTTTTATATCTCCAAGGTCATTGCTGTATCGGACCAACTATTTAGTAATGGAATTTTGATGCCTTAAGACTAATATATGTTCTTTCATGATCAAAGACTTCTAATTGGCCTCAATTTCTATGCTTGACCTGCTGAGATTATTAGAGTATAATATAGACATAATTTCATAGTGGAATTTTGATGTCTTAACCCTTTGGCATTCAACACGCACAAATCTGCCCTGTAAATATTGGTTCTTAAAGTCTCACTACCTGCATTATTTGTGATGATGTCATCATATATTATGGCAGAGTATACATGAGGCAGGTTATGGCTGGTTGAACATTGAGAGCCGGCATTTTAGCTAAAATACTATGGCTATTATATTTTCTTTCATAATCAAAGACTTCCAAAGATGGTCTTCTTCAAGAGCCACAGGATTCATTCCCTTGAATCCATTTTTTACAAAAACCCAACCAGAGTTGATATGTTATAAAATCCAACAATCCCCCCCACCAAAAAAAAATGTCCGAAGATGTTAAAATCAACCTCTTTATACTCTTAGCATCAAATTTTCATTCTAATGCCTTGAAGTAGTTCAATGAGTTTTATCTTTTTATATACAGATCTTTATTGCTCTTCCTGTGAACTCTTTATTAATCTAACATTTTCCACTTTGAATTTTCAGATCCCAATAACAGTAGGTGTATTTCTGAACAGTTATTATGACATGAAGTACAGTCATTTTGGAATTTTCTATGCAACAGTTGGTGTCTTGGTTACATCTCTCTACCAAGTCGTAAGTATATGTATATATTTTACATAATGTATTTGCCAACCAATTAAAAAAAAAAAAAAAAAAAAAAAGGAAAGAAATCAAGTGTCCAGGCAATTAATATTGCAGAAAGAAGACTGAATACCAATGGATCCAGTGTTGCTATTGTAAAACAAACTGTATTTACTAAGCTTAGCTTTGTACTGCACACAGCTACAAGTGGCGATTTTTCTAAGCATAGCTTCAATGTAGCACAAGAACGAAAGTATGGGGCACCCAGTGAGGATCAGACTCACTATTCAGTCGTGATTGATGTAGCAAAACAGGCTTGCTGACTATTACACCACATCGAAGTTCCCTAGCAATTTACATAGCTTAAATGTGGCAAAAAGGCAAAAGTATGAAACACAGTGAGGATCAAACTCACTATTCAGTTCTAATTGATCTTGTGAGACAAGCTTGCTAACCATTACACCACATCAAAGTGCCTCTACACGTAGCCATAGCATTCATTCAAGTCTTTGTTTTCTAGGGGGTTAAATATTCTTATTTATCAACAACCAGCCTGATGGATGAAGGGATTGACTGATTTGTTTTTTTATGGATTATCAACCCTTTGTTAGTTATTTAAAGCTGAAAAATGTTTTGGATTGTAACATTTTTTTTTTTTTTTTTGTGAGTGAATATTGCATTAACAATTTTTGGGAGATAATGATGTTCACAATATGAGTCCTGCTATTTAACCCACAGCTGGGAGGAGAAGTAATAGATTCCCAAGGGTATTTGCACATAATTGAATGTAACAGCCCCTAACTGGAATTTGAACTTGGTTCTCTGACTTATTACAAGACACTATCCATTGCACCACCTACACATCCCCAGCCTCATGGAACAGTCAGGTTGGTTTTGGAGGATTTTACAAATATATCTTTGGCCTATTAATGCTGAAATCAATATTTTACTTTTCTTGAGATCATGGGTAAACATTGGTTGTGCTTATGCTTTGCCCCCAAGTATAAACATTGAGCACATTTATGTGTGTGATCCCTGGGTAAGCATCAGGCTCATCTACGCAGTTAAACATCGAGCACATTTATGCTTGGGCCTTATGATCAACATTGATCGTATTTGTTATATTCCGTGCTAATAGGAATATATACCTGAAAAACAAGGTGGATATAATAAGTAAAGGTTTATTGTAAAAAACCAGTACAATAAGAACAAAGGTAACAGTTATGCATGTCATTGCAAGTCAATCCAGTAGTGAGTGCTACTATTGGGAGGTCGGTAGTTGAGTACCGCTCAGACTTACACAAGTCTGAGTGGTACTCAACAGATCCCAGCTAGAATATTTAATAGCCCCCTCCACGAGGTTGTATGTGGCACAAGGCCAAATTTATCATGTGTTCTCCGAGCCCGTAGGCTTGGCCAAAAATATTTCCTTTGAATTCGTATAAACGGGTTCAGGGTCGATCTACCTCCCCAAATGAGACTCTGCCCTTCAGCAGAGCCTCGTCCGGGTTCCTCTCAGCCCAAAGTCAGAGAGTTTGACCATCACAGCTGAAAAGATTTCAGCTGGACTCAACAGATCCCAGCTAGTCTCCGAAGTCCATTGACTTACAGATACTCATAGGTAGTTACTAGCTATAGTGTAGTCACAGTGACAGGTTATTCCATTACATCAGTATTTAAACTTGAATATATAATCATTTACTTTGTAGATGGTCACTTTTTTTTTGGGGGATATTACTCCTCTGCAGGGGCTGCAGTAAGTGTATTCTAAACCCTGTCAGCAGGGCAGTGATGGCATAAATCCCAGCATTGTTGTTGTTTATATATTATATATATATATATATATATATATATATATATATATATATATATATATATTTTTACAGTAGTTGTTTGGCTCCAAATTTGTATATTTTAATATTCAATATTTACTGAAAAAATGTCCACACCTCGCAACAAAAGAAGTGATTCCCACATCAGTGTGGAGAGGGTGGATAAAATTAAGTTTCTGGGCACGTGCATTGCAGGGGATCTTTCCTGGCCTTTTCAACCATGATTCCGTTAGTCAAGAAGGTGCAGCAGCGACTATTTATAGAGAATTCTCAGAAAAAATAATTTATAACGGGAACTACTGATGGTTCTATTGATTGGCATACGGCATCACTGTTTATCATGCCAGCTGCTCAGCAGCAGGCAAGAGAGCCCTCCATAGGATTACAGATATTGCCCAGAAAGTAATTGGCTGCCCTATGTTGCTAATTCTCGTTGTCACAGCAAAGCAGAAAATATAATGAAAGACAGCACGCATCTAGGGCACTACTTGTTTTGAACTGTTACCCTCGGGAGCAACGTTTAAGTTACTTTTATTAGTTCTCGAACAAAGTACTTGAGTGACAGCTTTTATCCTGGGACTTAGCTGATAACCTTCAATGTATTTTAAATGTTAATTTGCCCTGGGTATAGCTATAAGCTACATCCAGCAGCAAGTTCTTTTGACGTTATATTAAGGTAATTATCAAGAATATTCTTTGGTACCAGAAAAAATGCTAGTCTGTTTTAGCAGTTATTTCCTGATAGTCTCTACAAACACTCTTCAGTCCTAGAGAAATACCTATTTTATCCGTCCTGGGTAAGATGATAAACTACATCCAACAGCAAGGCTTTTGATCAGGAGGATGGAACCACTACTTAATTGCTGTTGTTCCTAGATCCACCTTGACCCTAGGTGGTAATACCTGTTAGAATCCCAGCCAAGGTCAAATAATGAACCCCAAGACAAAAACAAAACATTATGAAAGTGTAGAAATATATTTTTATAGTAAAAAATACCAACAATACATATTTATAGTAAAAAAATACCAATAATACATATTTATAGTAAAAAAAATACCAATAATACATATTTATAGTAAAAAAAATACCAATAATACATATTTATAGTAAAAAAAATACCAATAATACATATTTATAGTAAAAAAAATTCCAATAATACAATTTTAAAACAAAATGACCAACAATACATTTTATCTGTAATTGAAGTCATAAAATTGTGTTCAAAATATTTCAACTAAATTTTGACCTTAAATGACCCATAAGGGGTTGATAGACCATTAAACTGTCAATCAACAAATCTATCCTAAATGTTAATACTTTTCCTCATTTGATGCTGCACATGTTTTTAATTTGCATGTGTTGGTGTGCCTGGCCTGGGGAATGCTGTTCAATTTTCACGTGCATTGTACAATGACAATAAGAATAAATAAATAAACAAGATTTCTTTTTTGTTATCAAAGAACAGTCAACCTCCCCGTAGATTAAATAATGTGTTCAGTTCGAAATTCCCTGTCAGTTACCCAGATTGACATACATACACCTGATGAAGGCAGAGGCACACAATGACTGAAACATTGTGACAGAAACAACAAAGATGAGGACAACATAAATAGTATAAACAAAGACAACTTTATCAATCAAATGCAGAATAATGTCTTGTCTTTACCTTTCAGTGGGTCGGAGAGAAGCAACATGAGTTACAAGTGAACTCTATGCAATTACTCTTTTACCAAGCACCGCTGTCAACACTCATGCTCCTGGTTCTTGTTCCGTTCTTTGAACCATTCCTTAATTTTCATGTATTCCATTCTTGGAATTGGCCAGCTGCTGTAAGTATCACTTTTATGTTGGTAAAATCACTGTCAACCCTTGAATTTTTTTTTCCATCTCGCACTTTGTCTATCAGCCAAAGACAAATACATATGTCCCCGTGTGTGTACTGTGTTTTCTTGTACATAATATGATAAATTTTGAATGCAAATTAAACACAAAAGTTGGCAGGTGGGGGTCATATAATACACGTTTTCAGAAATTTTTATTCAGCTTAAAAAGCCACTTATTTAAAACAGCAAAATTGAAAATATGTGCAGCACAATCTCTATCTATAAAAGACAGTGTGTGTGTGTGTAACGAATGCACGGCCGCAATTTTTGATGGATTTGCACCAAAATTTACATGCACATGCTCCATGACATGAGTGCCTTTTTTATATAATTTTTCAGTACTCAGTAAGCTTAAAAATGGAAAATATTCTCCGTAATGTAATTTTAGAAATTTTGACTTTAAATTTACTATAGTCATCACCCTTATTTTCTGATGAAGTCATGTATGGTCAGCCATACTTTCAAAAATGGGCATGTTTATATACATAAAAAAATTCAAAAATCTTGGTGTTTGATGACTAGTATTAAGCATTATCATTTAAGATTAGTAAATGTAATTTTCACTTAATAATAATTTAATCTAAATGGCTGAAATTAATACAGAATTTAAAGATTTAAAACGTAATAAATTTTTGTAATGAAAATTTTTAAAAAATTAAAACAATTCTTGTAAAAATTCATTATTCATTGAAAAGAAAATTTTTATTAAGACAAGTGTCCTTAATATATCTTAATTTATAAAAGCAATTAAAAGCTGTTACAAATGAAGTAATACCTACTGAGACATGTAACGGTAACTGGTCAGGTGTTCAGCTGTACAGCAACTCTATAACCTTATTTAGTCATGGGACTGATGATGCACAAGCAACAAAGAGTTAAGTGAACTACCAAGACACTTCTAAGATTTCCCTATCACCTTACATAAGATGGCCTGGAGATTTTTTCATCAGCCTTATACATATTTTATTTTGGAGTCTGTCTATATTTCTGAGATGAGGTATTATGTACAGTATTTACATTAGTCGGACTATTGTCCTCATCTTTGTCGCCATATTGTCACAACGTTTTGACCGTTTATGCGCTCGGCCTTCTTCAGGTGGTTGGAATTTGAACTGAACCCTTTATTTTGATGGCTGGGGTAGACTGTTCAGTTCCGTGCAGGAGATAACTGATAACTGACATCCATCAAACATGGGCGTGGAACTAGAACAGTCTGCCCCAGCGATCTAAATAAAGGGTTCAGTTCGAAATTCCAACCACCTGAAAGAGCGATAAACGTCAAAAACGTGTGACAAATATGGCGAAAAGATGAGGACAATAATCCGACTAATGTAAATACTGTATATTTTATTTTGTATTTTCTTTTCAGTTGACAATTATCTCATCTGGTATCGTAGCTTTTCTTGTGAATTTGACCATCTACATAAGATGGCCTGGATATTTTTTCATCAGCCTTATACATATTTTATTTTGTATTTTCTTTTCAGTTGACAATTATCTTATCTGGTATCGTAGCTTTTCTTGTGAATTTGACCATCTACTGGATTATTGGCAATACATCGCCGGTTACGTATCCTTTGAAAAACAAACTTTGACTTTTTATCTCTCATGGTAAGATGACTGTGATCAGTATTTTAAATTTAAAATTTGTTCATATGTTTTATTTACATTTACTAATCAAATTCACATGTAATTCTATATAAAATTACACCCCAAAAATGTTTAATTTCTCTGAGATTTGACTTAAATTTTGTTCTTAGATACTACAACCAATGCCTTTGAGTTAGGTTTCATGATTTCCAACCTCTTTTGTTTTATGAACTCTTTAAAAATGTAACCAAAAGTGCACTAAACATCTGTGTGAATTTTTTTCTTTTTTTTACAGATTGATAAAAAAATAAATATTCATATATCAATATTTTTAAACAGAGTATTATCAAAATAATATGTGATTTGTCGGCCATAATATACTTGGGAATGATGGTGGAGTAGTTTCTCCACGGTTATTTATGGAGACACCACCTCTAGTTAGCTGGCCGTTGACTCAGAGAGCGAGCATGTGAGCAACAATGAAGTCTTGGAGAGGATGGAAACAAGGAGGAAGCTTATGCTTAACATAAGGAAGAGGCAGATGAAATTTCTGGGACACGTGATGAGAAAGGAGGGCCTGAAGAATCTGATACGGGGTGAATAGAAGGAAAAAGAGATGGGGAAAGCAACACATGACATACGTAGCAGGCTTGGGCAGGTGGATGGCGGAGCGTGGTCTGGGGGATTTGGCAGAAACACAAAATCAGTTGAGAGCCACAAGGAATAGGGGGAAGTGGAGGGCCATGATCACCTACGCCCTGAAAGGACACAGCACATAAAAAGAAAAGATGATCAAAAAAATATCATCAGAATATCTCTTGTAAGAGAAAGGGTGCAGCAGAAATACCTCCCACGTAATGGTAAGACATTAGTGTAAGTATTGTCTTCATCTAGTTAATGCCTTAATGTGGGAGTTATTTCTGGGAGGTGTATGTGGTATATTTGCTGCCCCCTGTATATCAATGTTTTAAATGGTATGATCCAAAAATGCCATCAGAATGTCTCTTGTAAGTTATTAAGATTAAATATTAAAAGGTTAATATAGAATGCATTACATGAGGTGTTTTATGTAGATTCAGACGTGTGTGTGTGTGTGTGCATGCTTTATATAGAGTCATGTATTTGTGCATGTATTTGTTTTTCGTTTTATATCTCACATTAATGTCAATGTTTTAAACCAGTGTATTTTGGGGTTTTTTTTGGGGGGGGTTCAATATTAAAAATAAAAACTGATCATGGCTAGAGTCTTTAGGTGTCCTGGGTATGACGATAAACTGCATCCAACAGCAAGGCCTCTGATTGGGAGGTTTTGAAGAACGTGGAACCACCTCTTAATTGCTGGTGTTCCCATGTCCACTCTGACCCAGGGTGGTAGCACCTGTTAGGGTGCCAGCTATGGGCAAATAGTTAACTCCAAAACTGCGGTAAAAACACTATGAAAGTGCAAAAATAGGTTTTAATACCAGAAATACTTTGTAAAAAAATTATTACCAGCAATAAATTTTTGAATGAAAAAAAAAATATTACCAACAATGTTTTTGAAGAAAAAATATTACCAACTATACATTTTTGGGGAAAAAATATTACCAGAAATAGATTTTTGACAAAACAAAATATTACAAGCAATAAAAATTTTGTTGGCATTAAATAACCCATTGCGGTGGAACAAACCAAACCTGACCGGGGGTAATAGCACCTGTTAGGGTCCCAGCTCTGAGCAAATAGTTAACCCCCAAACTATGGAAGTATAAAAATAGATTTTTATAGTAAAAGTAGTAGCAGCACATTTTTGAAAAAAAATATATTACCAACAATACATTTTTGTAAAAGTAATTATTAATGCTCCCAATCAAATTAAATTTTGGTATTAAATGACCCATAAGGAGTTGATATGCCGCTAAAAAACAAACGAATCTATTCTAAAAATCTTGTCGGCATTAAATAACCCATTGAAGTTGATATGCTGTAAAACAAAATAAACCCAAACCCTAGAATCTTTGGAAGAAAATTTAGCAGTATGTCTGACCAAAATTCAACCTTGCAAAGAAGATATTCTGAAAAAAAAAAATTCAAGCTCAGATATTTCCTTAAATGTTAAATTATAATAAACAGAAAAAAATAAATAAATGTAAGTTTGTTTTTTAAGAATTTTAATTATCATCTTTTTTTATTACAAATTATAATAAATTGTTTTGTTTGTGTTAATAAATAATTCATGAAAAAACACTTTTTTTTACTTTTGATCATTATAATTTAAGGTCCAAGTGTGCCGTGAGATAAAGAGAGGTTGAAAAACATTGCTTTAAACCAGTGATTCTCAACTCATGTGCTATGAAATATTGTCAAGGCACATTTAAGAAATCACAACCCCCCCCCCAAAAAAAACCCCAACCTGGCACAGGTTTCACACTAAATAATCTGCACAAATAATTGAATAGGAACATTGAATTAAGTTCATATTTGTCTGTGTATTTTTTTAAAAATCTATAGTTTTATTTCCTAGCATTTAAATGTATACCCTTTAAAATTTTTTCTAAGTGTGCCATGATATTTTCATTTGTTCCTAGGTGTGCCATTGCTTACAAAGGTTGAGAAACACTTTTTTAAACGGTGGATGATCCAAAAATGCCATCAGAATGTCTTTTGTAAGCTATTAAGATTAAATAAAATATCAAGATTAAATATTGAAAGGTTAACCTGGATAACACTAAATAATCACAAACCAATCAATAGGTACACAAGTTCCAAAATATGGTGAGTATGCTAGTCCAAATAGAAGGGCATACAATAATAAATCTAAAAAATTCTGCCTTATATCAAACTAGCAGGCTTCACCTGCTCGCTATCATTTCACAAAGTAAGATATATTCACTACATGAAATCTTTGAAACAAAAATTTTAAATGAACATTTCAGTCATAAATTGGCTTGTTATAGTTAAAGAAAGTTTTACAAATAGATGCCAACTTGTTGAAGGCCAAGTAAAATGAAAATTTCAAACACTTTTCTACACTATATAAGACGATGTTCCTAAACAACTATTTTTGATCTGAAAATTAAAACAATCCTCGAATAAAAGAACAGTAATGAAAAACGGTTAATTAATGAAATAAACTTTTTCAAAATCAATATGCAAATTAGTTAAACCTGAAGAGTGATATTGCCTAGAATTATATAATACAGATGTTGAGTTTGGGGCATTATGAACTTACCTGGCTTATGTCAAAGGGTATCCTCCAAACGAGGCTCTTGAAAATTTTATGTCATGGGTTGTTTTGTAGGTCCCCTGTAAATATGTGTTATATGCAGGATTCAGTGGTGATGGATGTGTTCATGTGGTGAATGAGTAAATTATATTGAATGAATGGGTCGTGAATCGGATTAACTAGGATAGTCCCTCCCTTCTGCCCCCTCAGCCTTGTGCCACAATAATCAGAAATAAATACCAAATTACTATAAAGTAATTTGTAACACGTTTATTTAACATCTCTCAGTGGCATCACTGTTTTCAGACAGAATGCACTCAGGGGCAGCTCCATCAAAGGACAGGGTCACAACTGAGGAAAATTATACTGAGAGGTGCCCAGCCCTGGAAAACAGCTGCTCAAGGCTGTGCCCTCTCATTGCACTAGAGAGAGGTATTGGTGCTCACACCAAGGCCAGCACAACCGACGGTTGCAAGGACTCAAGGAATTTTTGTTCCTAGCCTGGAACACACTCAGGCTACCCATTTTAAGCTGACCTTGTGTCACAATGCGGCTTTGTGGTGAGTCGAGTAAATACCAAATTACTATAAAGTAGAGCTGGGGCTTTTTAATCTCAGAATTTGCGAGAGAATTCAGCTCCAATTTCACATTTATTCATATAGATTCCATAATATAGGTTTTGCTTAATTAACTATTATGTTTCTCTAACTTTTCAAATGTTGAATGTATAACTAATTCTAATTTCTATTTTCCCATCTTTACACTATATTAATTTTATCTTATAAATTGTCCCCCTGTTCTGTCACCACTGAAATAAAAATAATTTTGTGTACAGAAAATAAGGATCTACATACATCAAATTGCCTTTAAATTAAGTGGCAGTGAAAGGATTATTGTTGAACTTTTAAAAGGTAAGATTCAATACTTAAATGCAGCAATCAATTTTGAGTTCTTCTGCAGTTTATTGATGCCCATCGCATCTACTCCTCCCTAGCTATTGTGATGATGGCCAAACCAAGAATCATCCACAGGAGCTAGCTTAAGTGCTGCAATTTTGGATACAAAAAGAAAATAAGAGTTACTCCCCTTGAACCATGGAAGCAATGATAATGGTCAATATTAATATATATTTTTAACTTCGCACAATCTGGCACCCCTGAATTTGAGCTCAACGAAAATCATTCCCTGTGCCTAACTTTTCTAGGGCTTTTGAATGAGCTATGAATCATTGAAATCAAACCAATGGGATGGAGGAGTTGCTTGGGCATGCACAAACACACACAGACATACACTGTACTTTATATATAAGATATAATCTGTTTCAAATGTCCTGGTTTTCTTCTTTTTCATATTTTTTAAGCATATCTGTTATTTACCTTGACTGACCTCCTTTCAGCTACAACATGGTGGGTCATTTAAAATTCTGTCTTATTCTTCTCGGCGCCTACCAATTCTTCAATGAAAGTTTGCATTTGTTGCAGTTGTTAGGAATTGGAATAACTGTCAGTGGTAAGTGTGCATTATTTTGATACTGCATCACCCTCCAGAAGAGAAACGTTTTGTTTCTTCCTGGAGGATACCCCCACCCATTCTATATTGGTGTGTATGGTAAAATAAAAAACGAATAAGGAACATTTATCAATCTAACATGTTTCACTTTTATTAAAGCTTCATCATAGAATGAGATATGGAAAAAAAAAAAAGCAAAAAAAAATTGTGGTATTTTTATTTTTATGTTTAATTTCCATTGGTTAAACAGGCTTCATGTGCATTTGACTTGTTAAACAGTGTTAGTTCTCTGATGAAACTTTAATAAGTGAAACACGTTAGATTGATAAACGTTTTTTATTTGTTCTTTATCTTATTCTGTTGGATTCCGATCCATGTTTGATCTTTATTTAATCCCAATTCATTGGTATATATGTTTTATATAGGTACATTTGTATGTGTGTTTTATATGGATACATGCATTTGTGTGTTTTATATATATTTTTTACAATAATCTTCACCCTATACCAGGCCCAAGAGCCACTCTAGGTACAGAGTTACAGGCACAATTTACAAGGATATGCAAAGGAAGATAATGGTTAACCCTAGACTTGAACAGCTTAAGATTATAGCAATCATCCACTTGGTAGTCAGTCTCCACAGAGCTGCAGTTCATGAGAAGAAGCTTCTTAAATGGAACTTACATCTGTGCATAGCAATGGCGAGTCTTTGGCACAAACGTTAGAACTGGTGGAACTAAGGAATGTAGTTCATCTGAACATTTAAAATGGAAATAGTGATAGAGCAGGGAGAGGGTTGCAACATTTTGTCTGTGGGAAACGGGTTACACAGTGGAAAATAATTCATCACAAAGATGCAGCGACACTTTTGGACTCTATAAAAACTGATCTGCAGTACTCCATTTTTGGAGAGTATCACTATATATATATATATATATATATATATTACAGTAAAAAAGACAAAAATTACCTCAACCTAGAGAATTTTTGGTTTTTTGCTATAAAAAAATATACAGTTCCAAATTTGAAAATAAATAAATAATTGTTATAATTCTTTTTCTATCCTTTGCAAATGATTCAAATTTTAGTATGTTATTATGGATGATAACGACTACCAGTTGTCAAAATTTCAGCTTTTCACAGTTGTTATTTCTAACAAATATTAGGTTTTAAAATTTTGTCCCTTAGTTTTGGACGCTACTGTATATGCTCAGTTAAAATAAAAATATTGAGCTCTCTGTGGATCAGTTTTAATAATTAGTATTACTAGGATCCACCCAGATTATATATCAACAGATTGATTACCTGTACTATATATATATATATATTATATTATATTATATATATATATTGGGCCTTGAAGACTGATAATTAGCAACTACCTTCAAGGAGCCTACCTGTTGGGAAGGACTCAATAACTGAAAAAACTCTTCCGGTGATTCCATAACTAGAGGGCAGCTGTATCAACACCACTAAGTTACACTTTGTCAAAGGTCTTTGAAATAGCTAATATGATCAACTGGAAATGGAAGACTGGGCAGCTCCTGTCCATATATGGCAGCAGTACTCCATTTTTGGCTTGATCTGGCTCTTCTCAAGGTAGAAGATAGCAGGAGAAGTCAAGTACTTACTGTAGCAGTACAGAGAACTGACCAGTTTTCCAGCATCTTTAGTGACGAATCATATGTATGAGTTCCACTTGATGTCTGAATTGAACTTAAGTCCTAATAGGCACCCAAAGCATAGGACCTCCCTGAGAGAATATCTGTTCATCATGATAGGCAAAAATTCAGTGTCTGCTTGGTGATGATGGAACATCAATAATTTGGTTTTTTCCCTTACTAAGCTGTTAGAGCTAGATCAGAGAAAAGATCAGCTGCCAGGCTCTGGTCATTTAGGGTTTTGGAGGTGCAACCATATATTATTGCATCATCAGCATAGCTATTCACAAAAGATTGTATTCTCTTAAATCATTTATGTAAAGTAGAAAGAGCACTGGACTAGGCAACAAGCCATGGGGGATATCTGCATTAATCCCTTGGGTCTTGAAGACTTGTTATTAACAACTACCTTCAAGCTCTTCCAGTGATTCCATAACTTGAGAGCTTGTGCAGCAACACCCCTAAGCCACACTGTGTCAAAGGTTTTTGAAATATCTAATGCAATCATCCTTGAGATATATTTATTATCTAGTGCCTCACCGATTCTATGAGTAATGACAGCATATCAGCAGTGGACTGAGCTGATTTAATCCATACTAATTGTTGCTCAAGAAGTTGTCCCTATTAAGGTGATCAACAACCTTCTTGTTGGTTATAGCTTCAAAAAATTTGCTAATGTCACTAAGGTGGCTGATGGTTCTATACTGAGATGAAGATGAGCACTCACCAGTAACAAGGCATACACTTAACAAACACCTTCCACAAACTTGGGAAGGATTTCTCCTGAAACCAGTGGTTAAATAGTTTCACTAATATTGGGGATAACTCGGGGTTAATATTCTTAATGACAACTACTGGGATTTTATTTCAACTGGTAACCTTCTTAAGGTTAAGATTTTGATAAGTCTAGAGACTTCCTAGGCTGTGATAAAAAAATATTATTGAGATTGCGAGCTGAGAGATGGGGGAATTCGGGAAGGTGATGGCTTTTGCTATCTAATGTAAAGTTAGAGGCAAAGACTTTTGCCTTATCTCATGAGAATGAGATGACCTCAAAGCCATTTATGATAGTAGGCACTAACATTTTGCTTCTATTGCGAATTTGATTGGAGATTTTCCAGAACACTAGGGATCCAAGTTGTTTGCATGAGACCTTGGGTTGGACTGCATGTGCATAGCTACTCTTTGCATTTTCAAGAACTCTCTTGTAATGATTGCAGACAGTTCTAAATGAAGCAAGTGTCCTACTACGCTGGTTTCTGTGATAGATATTGTAGTGGTGGTTATCGTGAACCAGGGCTGGCTTTTTGGTTTCTGCTAGAAGTTTTTCTGGGACATAAAAGTCTCTATTCCAGAAAAGATTTGTTCTAAAGTGAAGGCAGCAGTTTTGGAGGCAGTATATTTGAAGTCAGCTTTCATGCACCAAAATATTGTTTTATGGAATGGCATATCAGGGGCTGCCTTTGGCTTGGTATCAACTTTGACACTGGCCAGTGAATGGCCTGAAGTGTATAGTGGGTGAGTGTTTATACTTCAGTGAACCATTTTTTTCAGGGCAGGGTGTGAGGAAGAGGTCAAAGAAGTTCACCTGATGTCCTGTTGCATTGGGAATATAATAATCCTGTCCCTTTCTAGGCAACAGAGAAGTCTTGGCAGAAACTACCTTGTTTATCAGTTTTGTTGCAAATATTGAAGTCATTACAAATATGAAAGCTAGTAGAGGTATGCACAGAGAAAATATTACCAATCGTCTCCACTATTCAGTGGAACATTACAGTTCTGTCATCCTGAGAATGATAGAGAATGAAAAAGGAAATTGGTACTGTGGACAAGTGCTACACGAAAGCACATGTATAGGGTCCCTTGTATTTGGGGTCTCCGCCACATGGGAACCTGTCCTTAATATATGTGCCAAGTATGTGGTCATAGGGACTTTGGTGGTAATGTTTTACTATTAAGGTTGTATACTGGGATTGCAAGTTCCTGCACTGGAATATGCGCATTTATCTGTGTGTACACTTTAGATAGATACACACACATATTTTCGAAATGTATATACATGCATTTGAGTGTGTGTGTTTTGTATAGATATATGCATTTGTATGTGTTTTGTGTAGATATACACATTTTCATATATGTGTATGTTTATGTAGATACACGCATTTGTGCATGATAGATTTTTTTTCCAGCAAGATAACACAGCCCTCTCACTCTGTTGTATGGTGGAGCCACAAAATTAATCCCAAGGATATTCATTTGACTTCCAGGTACTCCATTCATCTTGCATTTCCCAGATTTAATAATAAAAACTCAGAGAGCTGAGTTTGAAACCTAGTCAAGTTTGTTATATTCACTTACACACAAATACCCTTGGGAAAGGTATGAATCCATTTATTCTCCTCCCAGCTATGGGTTGAATAGCAGGACAGACTTGGATGGCAACCAGTCTACTGCAGAAAGAAATGGCAACCTACTGCAAGAAAAATCTTCTGCTTTGTCAGTCATGTATCAAAAGACACATGATCACCCAAGCGTGTATCACGTGTGGCACTTAACTGACTGAGTGTAAGTAGTGTGATGGTTAAATTGACAAGTTGAGTTTGAATTCTAGTATTCAAATTTCCACCAAGTGTGTTACTTTCACTTTTGCTCAAATGCCCTTGAAAAAAGTATTAATTCATAAACTGCACTTCTTACATCCTCTTCTTAAGCTTATAGAACAACCTCATTCAATAACCATCTACCTTGAGTGGATCTCGAGCCTTGTATTGGGTGAAAAATTAGTAAAAAGAAAAAATCTTTTACTTTTACACCAATACCCTTGGGAAAGGTATGAATCCATCTCTTCTGACCCCCACACCTACCTACTTCTACTATGGGTTAAATAGCAAAACTGACTGGTTTATCTTGCCTTGAGGTGGCAACCAGTCTAGGAGAAGAAAAACTCTGAATTCAAAATCAGTCTGAAGAGTGATGGTCTCTGTCAAGCTATCTTGTCCTAGACACACTACTACTGTTATGGTTGCAGTACATGTTCTCCTAAGACCCTAATGGTTTACTTGACATGATATATGAATACATTGCAAACTAGACCAGATGTGAATCTGTAGATTAAATTCCACATCGCATAGTCTCTGCTATTCAGACATTAGCTTTGAGAATTGAAAGATAATTTATGACTCTCAATTACCTCCCCTACATTTTTTAAAATTTTTTTTAATCATTTTTCTCCCCGTGTTTACCTCCTCTACACGCTATTTTGTTTAGTTTTTTTGTTTTTTTTGTTTTTTTTTTCAAAATCCTTTCACACCAAACTTGGCGATAATGCCACTAAGATGCAAAAGGATACTAGAAGTAAATAAAAATAAGAAGACTTCAGTGAAGAGAAAGGACAAAAAAAAAAAAAAAAAAAAGCTGGATTCAGAAAGACAGAAGATGGCAATTGAGGTTGCATTTAAATTTTTGAAGAACATAATGGGTGTAACAGCAAAATTTAGTTATTTCAAAGGTAAAACGATGAGACTTATTTGCTAATCTAGTCGCGCACTTAAAGTCATGTAGTCAAGTTACCAAGAAGGGTAGCTCATTAGGCTAACTGCCATGAAAATATTTATAGAAAAAGCTGAGAGAAGACATGTCACGGCTTTGTAAAACTGGCTGAAGTTGAGATGCCAGGCCAGGATTTATAACATTACACACTTTTTTTTGGATTTTGTTGAGAATCTTGAGATATATAGTAAGAGCACCAGATTAGATATTATAGCAAGCTCAGTGTTTTATATTTGGAATTGAATAAAAAATGCAGTATATCCTACAATTTTTCTTAAGACTGCTCTTTCACATTTTTAATCAACGTCGATCCTGATCAGATAGGTGACCATTTGGGAATACCAGGTGCTGTAAGCTTGGATGTGTGGGTGGTGTAATAGATAATGGTAACAAGCTTAGTTAAGCAACGTTGAATCAGGTCAGTACCTAGATGGGTAACAGCTTGAGAATACCAGGTGCTGTAAGCTTGGATGTGTGGGTAGTGTAATGGACAACAGCTCGGAACTGGAAATCAGAGAGCTGAGTTCAAAATCCAATCAAGTTCGTTATATTCACTTATGTGCAAATATTCCTGAGAAAGGTATGAATTCACCTCTTGCCCCCAGCTATGGATTAATTAGTAGGACTTATATTAGCACATTATTAATACCTCCAAAAAATTTTTACAACCTGGAAATATTTTCTGACTTTAAATCACCTGCAAAGGGTTGATAAACCATAAAAAAAAACAAATCAATCAATTTCTTAAATTGATAACCATATGTTTTTTATCAAATTAGATTAAAAATTAAATTTTTATTAGCAACTGTAGCAAATTTGACTAAATCTTAAGCACCCTTACTAGTGATGTCAGTCAGGATTAAGCAACTTAAAGAAAAGAAAAATGAGAAATAAAATCCAGTAATTTTGTTTGTAAATGTTTTCTTTTCTATTTTAATGTTTCTAATTACTAAATTTATTAAATTCTTAAATCAAAAAAAGTTTACTTATTTTTTTTTTTTTTTCTCTCTCCCTTCTCTTCTGCAGGAATCATTTTTTACACACACGTCAAGATGAACGAACAGAAAATGAAGAGCCCATTACCAACACGATCCAACGTCAGTGAGACAGACATAAAGCCGATCATTTCGTAACCATATTTTATCAGGGTGACTCTTACATGTCACCTGTTCGTTTTTTTTCTCTCTCTTTCTTCATTTGTTTTTTTTTTTTTGTTTTTTTTTTATTTACATATTTACTACCAGAAGGCAAAGAGTTTATTGCCTATTGCAACTTTCTTGAACATTCCCAAATTTTTGGTTGTTTTTTTTCTTTTTTTTTAAGACGTCAGTTTTCTTCTTTAAAAAAAAAAAAAACAATAAAAATCAAAAATCTACCTCCCAAAATTAGTAATATCAAGTTTACTTTGACGAGGTGATTTTCTAATAAGTCCTTGGTTGGTCAAGTCTGCACGTTTTGTGTGCAAACAGAAAGATTGTAAATTCAGACAATACCAGTAGTACCAGTGAAACGAATAGGGTGTTCAGAAAGTGATTACGTTTTTACCAGAAAGGATATGAAAACAAATGTGAATTAAATTTATTGAAATCTTACTTAATCAAAAATTATCACCACCTTCATTTTCAATGGCCGCATCCCAGCAGGAAGTCTAGTTTTCGATTCCACATTCAAAGAAGTCTGAGTGTTTACCTGAAAGATGTTTGAAAGACGTTTTTGACTTCCTTACTTGCTTCTTGATGTTGTGCCACTCCTGAAATATTCTAGTGATCGAAACGAACAAAAATCTGTAGGTGCTGAATCTGGTGAGTATGGAAGATAGAGAGGAACCACTCATTGTAACGATCTTGTTTTTTTTTTTTTTGTTTTTTTCTTCGGTTTGTTTGTTTCGTAGTATATGCCCTTGCATTATCATGCTGGAAAAATAACACTGTTTCTGTTTACCAAAGCAGAAAACTTTTAAATTAATACTCCTTTTATCCGATCAAGTTGCTGGCAATACCCGTCTGCAGCAGTGGTCCTTCCAGGTTCCAGTGGCTCTTAATGGGCAACACCTTTCATAATCCACCAGACACAAAGTAAAGATTTCTCTGTATGGAGTCCAGTAGCATGCAGAAGGGGAGACAGAGATTGCAGTTGTACCAGGCATCCATATCACGAGATCATCTAATCAAAGAATGAAATAAAAATTTAGATTTTGAAATTTGAAATTGTCTCTGTTAACTTCATTCTACAAGCACCCTACAGTCCCACAAGTTGGTATGAATGTGGATCCATGTTTTGAGACCAGAGTAGCTACCTACTTGAGTCTTAGGGGTCATACAATCAAGGAGTTGGCCCTGAGCATCACCAAACCTCTGCACGTTATTAATGGAGTCTTGTTTTTGGTGTTGGTGCTGGTTTCCCATTTTATGGCAAAGTTGCCTTTTTTCTTTTTTCATTTTCTGTTGACATGCAAAACTCATTTTTCATCACCTGTAAGAATGCAATGCTAAAATGGAAGGTTAGCATTCTTAGTTAAAATGTCTGTCGAAGACACATTTGGTTCTCAAATGAAAGTTCATGAGGGACCTAAACTCCCTCTTTGCAAGTTCTCTTAATTAAACTCTGAAATGCATTATAAACAACAGACTGTCAGATAAAAGAGATGATAAACTAATTCTAGATGCAGCTTCCTACCATTCCTCTAATTCTTGGTTGGTTGATTAATAATTAATAGGTGTGAAATATGTAATTAGTTTCTGAACACCTTAATAGTGATACTGGGAACAAGAAAACTTTGTTTAATATTTCTAATATCTAACAAATTATTTTGATGATTATCCTCATCTTGGTTGTAAGCATGCTTTGTTTTTTTTTTTTATGCCTTTTTGGTTACTCTGAGGATTTTTCAGCATCCTCTCACCATTCAAAGAGTTGTTGACTATTAATTTGTCTTAAAATGTAATCCCAAAAGATCATTAAACATCAACTCCTCTTAAAATATAACACTAAAAATTCGTTGAATATTAACCTCTCAAAATTTAGCAAAAGTTCCGTTGAATATTAACAAAAACTTCTCTCGAATTATAACAGAAAATCAATTAAATATTAACCACTTTTCTGAAAAATGTCTCTCAAGATGAATATGAAAAATGTCATGGTATCAAGTGCTTACTGACAACTTATACAGTATAATGCAAAAATCACTGCAATAAAAAAAAGCAGCAACAACAACTAAGATGAGAGTAATTTTGAACAGTCATTGCGTGAACAACTCATCCAAAAATGTAAAATCAAAATTTAAAGACATTGTTTTCAGCAAGCAATTATTAGATTTTATTAAAGCAAAATGGTTTTATAGTTAGTACCTCCACAAAAAAAAATGCAATACCCAATGTTTACAATGAATTTTTAAAAATGATATAATCTTTCTTGAAGCTTTTATTTTATTTTAGTTTAGTAATTTTTAGTTTTAATTTCAAGCTAATAGATTAAATTTTTCAATAAGCGAAATACTTTACGATATTTCAAAAACTAATTTAAATTGACTGGAAGGATTTTTTTTTTTTTTTCTAAAAAAGCTGATTTGCGATCTTTCATTGCAATGTAATTCTCTTTATTAAAAAATCTTCCAAAAATAAAAGATACTTTACTGAAACTTAATTTGAGGAATATTAGCTGATTTAAAGTATGATTAATTGATTTGAAACAAATATTATTTAAGAATATATACTTTAAGTATAAAATATCACATAAATGCATTTTTTAATGTGGTAGCTATTTATTTAAGCTGTTGACATGTTTGACAGCTTGATGACAGATTGATATTTATCTAATGTTGTTCTTTGGAAACTATCTGTAAAAAATAAAATTGAACAATACAATGTGAGCACTTTATATATATATATATGTATAATTTTTTAAGTACTCAGTAACCTTTAAAATTTAGGAAAATATTCTCTGTAATCTGTTTATTGAATTTTAGATATTTTGGCTTTAAATTTACTATAGTTATCATTCATATTTTCTGATAATGTCGTGTATGAACACCCGTATCGATATAAATTGGCACATTTATACACATACAAAAAATTATTCAAAATTCATTTAAAAATATTGGTGTTTGATGATTTATACTAAGCTTTTGCATTTATGATTGTATGATTTTTACTTAATAATAATATCATCTAAAAGAGTGAAATTAATACAGAATTTTAAAAAATTCAAAACTTTTAAACATTATTCTAATTAAAATTTGAAAAAAAAGGAAAACAATTCTTGTAAAAATTCATTATTCATTGAAAAAAGAAATTTTAAGACAATAGTGTCCTTAATATATCTTATTTATAAAAGAAGCTTCTCTAATTAAATAATGTCTTAGATTTATTGCATTTTTTATTTTACGATTCAAACCAGATTTTCAGTAAATGGTGTCTCTATTTTGCAAAAGAAAAATTAATGATTTAAATTCTCCAAGGAGTCCTGCTTTTAACTAATATAAATATCAAGGGGGTGTAATTTTAATTTCTCATAATTTCATAAAATTTAAGTACGTGGTTAACAGATATAAAAAAAAAAAAAAAAAAATTTTTTTTTACCAAGATTTTCTAAGAAAAATAACAAAAAATCTCAAAAATAAAGTCATTCATTTGTGAATAAGTCCTGAAGATTTCATTAAAATCCAACAATTATTTGATTTTTGCAAGAATTTCCTAATCAATATGTTTTTACTGCTAAAAAAAAAAAAGCTAAAATTTCCTATACTAATCTTTGCCACTGATGCAAGAAAAACAAAATTTTTAACCAAAATTTCATGTGTTAGAAAGTATTAAGAAATTTAATAAAATAGTAAAAAATACTTTGGTCTTTCCTCTTAATAATAACATAAACATTTTGATGATAAAACTTTTTATCAAATTTGGGGCCTTTTTTCATCATGGTATGCTCTTTTTTTCAGCAAATTAATGGAGGTACCTATTTTATTGTCCTTTTAATATGTCTTTAGTACATATAAAAGCTTTAAATATAATTTATTTTTGTTTTTAAATATACAGTAGTTGCATTTTTATGTTTTGATACTCCTGTGAAATAACGGAATAGAAAAGCTTGAAATAATGCCTGAAATCCTAACATGCAAACAAATTTTTTTTTACATTTTTTTTAAATTCCCTGCCCACAAATCCCAAATATTCCTTCATAAGAATTAAAATAACGACCGGCTCTAATGATCTCAAATTTCTTGATAGTCTATTTATGGAAAATACAATAATTTTAAAACGGTTTGTCAGAAACAAATTTCTACCTGTAGAACCCTTCTACAGACAGCAAAGAAAATTTATTGTACCCAAGACTACTTCTTTATGTAAAATTTAATATTTTTAAGCTATAACAAATTATTTATAGAATTTTAACTTTATATTGTTTTTATGCATACTTGCAATGGATTTTTAAAAAATGGGTTTAAACATGTCACAAAAACAATGCATTCAGTTTCTTAGAATAACATTGAGTTAATTTAAATTTTGATAAGGCTTGTCTGTTGTAAACCAGATCATATGTCAACCATTCAACCATAGTTCAATAAACCAGAAATTGACAAAAATTGACCAAAAATAAAGAAATTTTTATCAGAAAAAGCAGCAGACATTAAATAAAAGTATTTTGATCAAAACGTTTGCAGCCTGATTGAACACAATTTCAAATAGACTCTTCAATCACCTTGTCTTACAGCCACATCATGTTGAAATGCCAGTTCCCATATGATTTCCAAAGTTAAGCAACATGGAGACTAGTCAGTACTTAGATGGGTAACTGCTTGGGAATACCAGGTGCTGTAAGTTTGGATATGTGTGTGGTGTAATGGATAATGTCTCATAATTTTTAATTGGCTCATTATATTCACTTATGTGCAAATACCCTTGGGAAAGGTATGAATCCACCTCTTCTCCACTCAGCTATGAGTTAACTAGTAAGACTTGTATCACTACTAAATCATTATCTTGAACAAACATTCTTACAGTCTAAAAAAACAAATATTTTCAGGCTTTATATAAGCTTTGATAACCCGTAAAAAAACAAATCAATCAAAACAAGCTATCAACTGAAGAAATCCCTTCACAGTGATGAGATAATTTTGAAGTTCTTTTTTTACCATGACTCATATCACAAATATGCATCACTAAAACCTGTAAATGATTTTTTTTAATCATTTTATCCCAAGTAAGGCAATAAAGCCACTAAAACACAGAGGTTTATTGAGTGTTAGAAAAGCATTGAAAATCAATAAGAATGAGATTGATCAGGAATTAATACAATCAGTTCTGGTAGAACATGGTTATTCTATGTACAATATGCATTGATTTTATTCTCAAAATGCATTAAATATCAGGGTGAAATGGATTGTTAGGGATCAGAAATTAATACAAGTATTACTGCTAAAAGAATTTTTTTTTTTTTAGCGATGCATATTTGTGAAATGAGACCCGGTGAAAAAGGGAAGGGCTCCATCAGACTATCTTACCCTAGACACACCACTGCTACTATGGCTGCTATACATGTGGTTCCACTACTGCCGGTTACATTTAAGGGTTGACTGTGCTTTCCTGTCTTGAGGTGGCAGCCCTTCTAGGAGAATTAAAATTTTGAATTCCAAACCAAACTGATGAAAGATGTACTCTATTAAACCGTCTCTTACCTACAAACACAACAGCTGTTATGGTGCCTCTACTATGGGTTAAATAGAATGGCTGACTGAGTTTCTTTGTCTTGAGTTTGTAACCAGTCTATGAAAAGGACAACTGAATTCAAAAGCCAACCTTTAGATAGATGAGCTCCGTCATGAAACATAAGATCTTCCACTGCTCAAATGCTTGCAGTACATGGTGCCTCTACTATGGATTAGCCAGAATGACTGACTGAGTTATCTTGCATTGAGTTTGTAACCAGTCTACAGTGGGTAAAATTCAAAAAAAAAGAAAAAAAAAAAATGCCCTAGAAATTCACCAATTTGCTATGGCAAAAACATGTGGTGTCCAATGAAAATAATGTATAAGAAAAATTTGTTTTCTTGTTTGTTACATCAGACTATCTTGCCTTAGACCACCATACTGTTATGGTTACACAGAGAAAAATGTGGTGCTCCTGGACCCTAATGTATATTATGATATAAAATTTATTTAGAATATCAGCTTGAATAGGAAATGTATTCCGTCAAGTTATTCATTGTCTAAACATACCACTGCCACTATGGCATGCAGAAAATGCTTGGGGTATAGGGACCCAAATGTATATTATGATATAAAATTTGTTTTCTTGTCTACTACATTCTATTACATCAGCTTGAAGAGGGATGAGCTCCGTCAGGCTATCTTGCCCTAGACACACCACTGCTGCCATGGCTGCAGTACATGTGGTGTCCAACAGAGGCTAATGTATATTGTGATATAAATTTGTTTTCTTGTCTGTTACATCAGGCTATCTTGCCCTAGACACACCAATGCCGCTATGGCTGCAGTACATGTGGTGCCAATAGGACGCTAATGTATATTATAATATAAAAATTGTTTTCTTGTCTTTTACATCAGCTTGAAGAGGGCTGGGCTCCATCAGGCTATCTTGCCCTAGACACACCACTACTGCTATGGCTGCAGTACATGTGGTGCTTCTACAACCCTGGTGGGCTATGGGAGCTGTGACATGTTCTGACAACTTGTCACTTGAAATTGAACAACCATTAGTTGTCAATTATTATGTTTTTAAAATGCAAGAGAAAGGAGAATCAGATGACCAACACTCAAAACCTTTCAGGTTTACTAGAAACATTAGCCGAGCTGTTTCAACTCAAAGGCACACTGCAGATCATTTATTGTCTTCAGGCTGGAAAAAGAGGATTGTGCAGCTCCAGACTAGATGTGCAATAAAAATGTACTACTGCTAATGTTTTACTCTAGAATACCAAAACAATCAGGAAGAATTAGCAGAATAGTACCATTATATCTTGATAGGTAATCATATACACACACACACACACACACACACACACACACACACGTGAATATCTTGATAGTTAATCATACACACACACATGTGAAACAAGGCCAAGTTCAAATTGTTCAAGCTCCCTCAGCATTTCCCCTTTTAGGGATGTCTGAAGTAACACAGATTAACTCTAGCCTCCTCCCAAAGGAGAGGTACCGCCTGGAGGGGGCACTGAAGCTAGGGATATCATATCTTTTAAGGGTAACAGGAAAACAAAACAGTAGAAACTATCTTTTTGATTTAATTACATTACTTGTATCTCTTTTTCTTTTTCTGCAAGGCCCCAAAACCACTCAATATGGAGGTTTTAATAAATGTAAGGGTGTACAGGGTGG